CAGAGCAGCGTGACTGCATATGGCTAATATTGAAAAAATTGATCGACCTATGCTGTAGTATAGAAGTGGCATACCTTGAGCAGCTATTGAAAGGCAATGTGTTGTTCTGGAGAAGTACTGATAGACAATATTGGAGAAACTATTCCATCGTCATATGCCCATCAAACTCCTCTGTTTCAAAAAATGATTGCGGATATGATGTGAATCGTATTGATGAATTCAATATGGGCTGCCTCTTGGTGAAGAAAGCTTTCGGGGAGGAGGATATCACTGTAGTATCTAACTCTGTCCTAAAGGACGCCGAGCAAATTTCTGATGATTTAAAAAACGGCAACAGTGACAAGGAACTGCTTTCCTCGTCCCACTCGAGATTATCCCACCATGTTTGCTCCCCTCTGATCCTCTTCAGTTTACCCATTTGCCCAAAAGGTAGTTTCTTCATCTTCGGGCAAGCAAACGCATCAATGTATTCCAGAGAAGGAAAATTCAATTTAGGATTACATAATCTGCCCAAGCTTCGCAATGAATTTAACTGCAAAATTCTTAGTTGACGAAATCCCTGAATAGGTATTTCGTATCTTTCTTCCAAGTTAATTAAATTTTCTAGATCAACTAAATGCTTCATTTTATCGCAGCAAGACACATTCAAATGCTCCAGAAATGGTAGTTTTAAAATGAAGGACAGGTCTACCAGTTGATAAGTTCTCCCCACAGTAAGCTCACGAAGGTTCTGCAAATGTCCTATACTAATCTTTTCAAGTCCAGGAAGATCCCAAAAGGTGAGAAACTCCAGCCTCGGAAGGCGTTCTCCATAATTCTGTGGCTTGTTAACAATGCATAAGTTCTTCAAATCGAACAGCCCATTACATTCAGAACAACGATACTTTCCTGTAAATTAAGAGTAAGAGATCTCTCTCCATTCAATTCATATAGACCAAGGCATCTCAAGCGGATTCCAAAAACCCTCTGCAGGTTACTCATTTTCTTTGTTGTTATTCCTAGAACTTTTAGTTCTCTAGTTAATCCTGATAACTCTTCGATTCTAAACTCATCATAACCCATGTGGTTCTCTAATCAAAATCTGATTCGCGTCCGGCATACCTGCTGCCATGTAGGTTTAAGACTTGTAGCATTGACAAATTTGTAAGAACACCACAGGGTATCTTCTCCAAGATATCCATATAGCTCAAGTCCAAGAACCTCAACTTTCTTAATTGCCCAATAGCTACAGGCAATAGTTTAATGTGTGTTTGCTTCAGTTTGAGACATTGCAATTCAATCAGTCTGCCAATTTCTTCTGGAAGATCCTTGATGGGAACCCAAGACAAATCCAAATAGGTCATGGATGATATGCTATTTAGAAAAGATGGTTGTATCACCTTCAGCTGAAAGTTCTGCTGTAGTGACAGAAATTGCAGGTTCGGACAGCTCATGGCCTGAGGGAATTGAGTGATATGATTGCACATGGTTGGAAGGACGCGCTGACAACTCTAATGCTGATGGTGAGATGAAAGCATGGACAAATATGTGGAAAACTGATGTCCCTTTCAACATAAAAATCTTTCTCTGGAGGCTAGCTCAGCAAGCCCTGCCTACGGCAAATTTGTTACACCGCTGAAACATGGCGACTCAAGCAGTGTGCGGACTATTTGGGACACCGGATTCTTGGCGACACTCTTTGATTAAGTGTTACATGGCACGTTGCGTTTGGGGACGTTTCAGGATGAAGACTTGGTGGAAGTAATGATGCAGAACAGAGAACGATGCGAAGCGATTTATATTTTCTCTCATGAAGGATTTACGACGTGCAGATTTCACCAAGCAACTTGTGACACTTTGGACAATTTGGCGCACATGCAGAAAGGCTCTACATGAGCAAATATTTCAGGGGCCTTTGGTCATGAGCGGTTTTATCAAAAGGTATATAATAGAAATTGAGTTCAGTAAACCGAAGAAACAGTTGGGACAGCCTCATGTAGCTCCTATTCAATGCCAAAGATGGATTCCGCCGGCTGATGGAGTAGCTAAAATTAGAGTGGACGGTATTGTGGCTCGTGAATCGTCTGAAGGGTCCTTTAGTGCTGTTGGCAGAGACTCCACTTGCAAGTATCTGGGTGCTTCAGCGATTAAGTGCTCTGATGTCACCAGTCCCTCTACCTTGGAGGCGTTGGCATGCCGGGAAGCGCTAGCTTTTGCCCTAGACCTTTATTTAACAAATGTACAAGTTGCCTTCGATTGCAACGATGTGGCGAACGACATTCTAAGAAGCACAGGGTATGCATGCTAGTATCATTAAGGAGATCAACCTTACATCTACACAGATACCTCATGTTCCTTCATCTTCGAAGGAAGAAAAACAAATATTGAGATAGCCTAGCTAAACACGCTTTAGGCTTTCTTTGGGACACCATGTGTGGCTCCTTAATACTCGAGACCTAAGTGCTATTCCCATGAATTTGTTTAATGATCAATAGAGTGGAGTGTATTCAGATTAAAAAACGCAGATTAATAGTGATCAGCGAGCGACCGTCTGCTTGTAATTAATAAAGGAAAGAAACCAAATGTCCGTTATTTTGGGTCCAGAGCTCATTAGATATGGGTGAACAGAAAAATTTAAAAAAAATACTAGACAAATTCAACAAAATTCTATTTCTCCGTGGGATATATTTTAGTGCATGAGGTCCATGCCAAATTTCAGCGTATTTGGACATCAGAGCAACTATCAGAAAAAAAAAGAAATCGGTCACGAACAGTAAACTTTTTCACGGACCCCAATTTTGTAAATTTTTTCTGCAGTGAGCTGCTCGGATTCCAAATGAGCTGAAATTTGGCACGAACTTCATGCACTAAAACATCTTCCATGTAAAAAATTCAATTTTTTGCATTTTTCTAATATTTCCTTTTATTTTTATTGTTCATGCGCAGGAGCAGATGAGCCTGGGAAGCGTTTAGTCACTCTCGAAAAAAAACATATTTTATCCTATTTTGCTACTTGGATTGTTTTCCTAATATAGGTAGTTTTCATTCATTTTAAAAAAAGGATGAAAACCATATTTATTTTAAGAAGTGAACATTTTACAGAAATAAAATAAGTTCTGAATACTTTTAAAATTTCCAGAATTTCAGAAGTTTTGAACATTTTTTAAACCTAAATATTTTTAAAAATCTGATAAAATTTAGAAATATTTGATTATATTAATACATGAATATTTTCAAAAGTTGGACGTTTTTACAAATTTTCATTTTTCCTTAAATTTGTGAAAAATTCAAATAAGACAAATACTATTAATAAATGGAGGATTGTTTATGCCCATCCGTGTGCATTTTGTAGAAAACTCGTTGATGTTTCTGCTAATCAACCCACTATCCGATTTTAAGTGAGACAGAGAAAATGTTATCTTTTATGCTGAAATCGCCCTTCGGTTCATGGTAATCAAACAGTAGTCCAGTTTTAAATGATGTTTCACTTTTGTTGAAAATTCAATGTTGTTTCTGCTAATTAACGCGCAGTCCATATCAAATGATTTAAAAATAATAATAATATCTTTTAAATCTTAACTCCAATTTTAACATGTTATATATGAAACTTGATTACAAAAATGTGTATAATTTGAATATGATGTTATTCTGCTTGTTAAACATTTTATATGCTATTATGGTGCAACCTTAATCAACAACGCACGGTCCGTCTTTCTTTTGTACCGACGCCGATCGGCAAAAGCTCACATAAGAAAGCAGATTGCTAATCTTATGGTTAGAGAGAGAGAGAGAGAGAGAGAGAGAGAGAGACCTTAGGATTTACCTCATTAAAACATGTTGTGGTCTTGTGGGCACTGAGGTCACCATCGACGAGGGTGTAAAGGAGGATAAGCGGCAACAAAATAAAATACCATGTTGAAATAAAGGATGTGGACATGTTGAGGTCTTAAGTCGTGGTTATGGGGTTAAGTCGTGGTTATGGGGTTATGGGTGTGGAGTTTTTTCCTTTTGTTACAATGCACGGGCTCTTTTACTAGTAAAATGACAATGGAAATAACAAAAAAGAAATAAAGCCAGAACCGATCAAAAAAGCATACGTGTTCACAAAAACCACTTCAATCTTTCAAAAAAAAACCACTTCAATCAAAGTGGTAAGCGGGATGGCACGCATGCGGCAGGTCACGAGTTCGAGACCCCCCCCCCCAGCGCAGTTCGCCCCTAGCAGCAGTTCCAGAAAACGGTTCCATAAAACCAACATGGCACTAGCCCTGAACCTAGATCTGTGCCGCGTGATCGGACCACAAACAGGGCGTTCGCTGGAGTCTGCCCCTCAGCGAATGGTCGTTGCATAACATTCTCTTACATAAATGGATATTGGTATAATGGCACAGCTAATGAGAATAAATAAAAAGCCTGGCCAAATATACTACCTCTAGGAGACAGCTAATGAGAATAAAGAAAAATAATCTGGCTAAATGTACTACCTTGATCACTCACAAAAAACATCTACTACCTTGAGGAGACAGCTAATGAGAATATTAATGTGGACAAATCTGTTTGGTCTTGCAAAAATTGAGTGCGTAAATAATAACTGCAATAGAAATCCGTATATATGGAATTTATGTGAACAATCTGGATGATCTTGAGAAAATTTAAAACTAGATTTTGTAGAGACCTATATAGGGACGCCGTTACATATGCTACCTCGCACCCAAATCCAAAGTAGAGAGAATACACAAACAAGGGCACGGAGTATGGAGGGGAAAACTACTCTATGTTTTCTCACGGTGCTTCTGCTGCTAGGAAATTGCGCTCATGCTGGTATTTGCTCGTTGCTCTCCCTCTTATCTCTCTTTGGGTGCTCTCTGTTTTCGCCAAGCCAAATAGCAGCGCTAATTTTAGAGTTCTTGCAGAAAAGCGCATCAAAACATCTTCATATACTCACGGTTCCAAGTGGAAACAAATCATGCAATTACAAGCATGAACTTTTTGTATCCGTATTTTACCATTTTCTCGCAAAGATGCGTATTGTTATTGGTGAAATTGCTATTTTCACACCGGCTTACTTTTTAATTTGCAAAGAAGAAAGTATATTATACAGTCTTCTTAATTACACTAGAACGTGCAACTGCACGAATTTCCACAAGCAACTTTGGGAATTTCTATGAAAATACTGTAATGTGGAAATGTGTTTCCACCGTCTGTTGTAGCCCAGTTTCAAAATGTACGCGCTGATAGAATATGCTAAGTATACGTTACATAAATAAAATAATAGGCGTTTGTATCTTCCTTCAAGGTGTTAACTTATTTGGTCTTGGTGAGATGTCCCCCCCCCCCACCCCCACACACACATATGTATATGTGTGTATGTATGTATGTACACAAACATTTGACGACTAATTTTTTGTTTCCTTTCAGAGACCTGCACAGAGCACCGTGCTAACAAAGGCGCGGCGTGCATAAATGAAGGTTGTTGGAAAGACTGCGCGAGAAACTACCATGGACATTATGTCAAGAATGCTTATTGTACTGGCGTTTACCCCTTCACAAAAGTCTATTGTGTCTGCGACGTCTGTGATGAGTAGGAGACAATGCAGCATCGCATTACGAGGGTCATTTACACAGAGGATTCATGAAGTTTGGTGATAATAAATTTTGTCTGTGTAAACGTGTGAACATGGTTACTGCCTAATTAATTTGTAACGTGGTTGTTTTTTGCATAAACACCATCATGTTTTATTCACAGATTCCGTGTGCCTTCATCCACAGGCAGGAAACCTGGAAACAAGTTTGACTTTTAACATTAGTAGTAGCCACTAACCCATCGAAAATTCGATTCTAAGCCTGAGCTCAGATGGTCCTGATATCTCACCCGTTCGCTCGCATGTGGATCAGCGCCCTTTGACGTGTTCAACACAGTATTCCTGGCTGTATCCATCCTGGAAAACGCAGGAGAGATGCGAAAAATGCCAACGGCGGCCGAGCACCAGGCCGGCCGGTATCTCAACCGTCCTGGCGCCATGTGGATCCCCGCTGCCTCTGTATTATGTGTGTATCCGCTTTTTTTTGGGCCGTATTCATCGACACCGGACCCACGCACATGGAAAGAAAGCTAGTTCTGTCGCACGCCTCTGACATGGGCCGCACAGCATCTCCGCACTAGTACACTGATGGGCTGTATTTTCTTTGCATGTACCAGCGCCAAGACTGGCACGTACTAGCAGAATCATGTGCTGTAGCGTGCGGAGAGCCACGTCCACCAGTGCATCTAGCAGCCGACGTGGCCCAGCATTGACCATGGACGAACTAACTGCACATATTTATTCAGTTTACCGTTTAATTGAGGTTTATTTTTTATTGGAACAAATCAAGAGGTTAACTGCAATACTGTCACGCACAATCTGTTCCAAATCCTGGCCGCTCATGATCACATTTGTGGAACACAAAATCAGCCTCAAATCATGCAACGAAACACGCCATTCAATTGGTAGTGTGATTACGCAGATCCAAAAAAAATTATTAATAAACACATTTATGTTGGGAGACCAGTGAAACAGGCATAATCTCGTTTTGCCGTTCGGTATCAACTAACAGCTAATTCAGTGTCAATGGTTCACGCGGTAGGCCAGGTTCTGTGCCGCGTGGTACTGTTTTGCGCCGCGCAGGCCTGTTCGCTCATCCCTGATACGTCACGTCACGCAATTTACTATTCCCTCCATTCCACAATGTAGTGCTTCCTCTATCCACGTGCTTCAACTTTGACCGTAAATTTAACTACCAAGACCGATTGCGGCGGGAGCAAAAATTATATCAGTAAATTTGTATTTGAAAAAAGTTTTTAATTATATGATTTTTTCTCCCGCCGCAATTGGTCTCGTTGGTTAAATTTATGGTCAAAGTTGGACCTCGAGAAGCGCGGGCGCACTATATTATGGAATGGAGGGAGTACCCATTATCATTCCTCCTCTACCTCCACCCACCTCGCTCTGCTTCTTCGCCGCGGAAGGGAAATCCACCGGAGGGACCAAGGTGGAGCAACAGCGCCCTCGCCGTCGAACTACTGGGCGGCGGCAAGGATCACTCTCCTCCGCCGGGCCGACAAGTGCCGGGGGCTGGCAAAGCGGATAGGTACCCCATTCCCACCCACTCACGATCTGCTGCAAACTCTAGGTCGCCATTGATCTTACTTTTTTTGCTTCAATTGATTAGGGTTCTCAAAACATTTTTTAGGGATAGAGAGGGAAGATGACTGATTTTTTTAGCGGGATCCAAGCTGGTATGGTTGTCAATGGATTAGAGAACATCGAACAGTCGCCCAAAGATTGGAACAGTGACGGGGATGGTTCAGGCGGCTCAACTGGTTTGCCTGAATCACCATGTTTCACGTCCAGGCTTTCTGTGCTCAAAGTGGGTTCAGTCATAAGCAAGTTTTCTGAATTCAAGTGCCAATTAGTCAGGGAAACTGGATTCGATGGAATGCTTGAGCTAAAATCATGGCAGAAGATCAACCTAAAATACAACGCTTATATAATGGATAGAGTCGATGTAGATGCAAGTATAATAAATCTTGAGCGCCAAGGAGTTATTGAACTATGTGACAAGGATATGAATTATGTGTTTGGCATCCCATGTGGCGATTCAACCATAGAAGGCGAAGGAGTCGAGCCGTCAGCAGCTTGCATTGAGTATACCCGTGCGGCAACATCGTTTAGTGACAGAGGCACCCACAGCCTGAAAGCAGCAGAGGCATACTTAAGCAGATGCATAACAGAATCATCTACTCAATTAGAGCAGGACTGCTTCAAAATTGCTTTTGTTATTTTTATTGTTGGTCATGTGCTGGCACCTACTGCGAAGCACGATTATATATCAATTGATTTCTGGGCTGCACTGAATGATATCAGCAAGATAAAGGATTGGAATTGGGGAGGATACGTGTTGAAAAATCTTTTTCAAGCTGTCAAAAAGTTCAAGGCAGATGTTTTGAGGAGAAACCCAACCGTGCATATAGTTGGATGTCATCTGTTTCTGCAGGTGTGTGTTCGTTTTTGTCTTGATGAAAATCATTAGAAGTTTTCTAATCAGTCAGTCGCACATGCTCACATATTATCCCCCTGCTGTTGTTTTCATTTGCAGCTTTTTGTGCTTGATAGCCTCGAGCTGGGTGTTCTAAACAGGGCAAGAGGTGTAACCCCGCGTATAGGCTTGTACGACTATGAGTCGATCAAGAATATGGTTGAGAAAATTACAGTGAATTTTGCCCTGGGCGAAGTTTCCTTTCACGGCGCACCGGTAAGCAAAACATCCCAAATCGAATACATTTTTTTTATCTCTGTCAGTACTACATCAAAACACGCTTCTAACATGCTCGAAAACAACAGGTGCGGAGTGAGCTCTCCGTGTGAAACCTAAGTGTGTGCCGTCCGAAGGAAGTTTGTGCAACAAAAACACCAAAGCCCACGACAGCGCCCAAAAAGACAAATGCAACGTGCACACCAATTCCACGGAATAGCTACGCAAAAACCGGCGCACAAGAGTTTTCAAATTATATACGAACACGCTACCCAAGCATAGTATGTCTCCTAAAGCCATTGTACATGTTCATCAGATACATACATTTTGACTACCACCTAACCTTTTTTTTATATGTACTTATCTAGTCAGCGGAGAAACTCGGCGTACTTCTTCGGGAGCAGAATGCCCGTGGGCTAGCAAATATTTCAGAAATGCGTCAAGCCTTCCAGTCCAATATGTTCACTTTCACTGACAAGCTAATGATATGCATAGCAGATAGCTGCACTTGTTGCAAGGCGCATGGAAGCAAAAGGTGCATCTTGAAGAGGGAAGACACCAACGCCGACAATGTACCTCCCATGGCATCAGTAGATCAAACCCAATTCAGCACACCTTTAGTAAGCAAGATTGAACCCCGATTACCAGCACCAGGGAACCATGAAGGTACATGATCAATCTTTTAAAATCATACAAACGACCTTATAGAACATAGGCATCCCCTTGACCCTACTTGATCTGCCTTGCCAGGCACCGTGTCGGCGAACAGCTCTGTGTCTAGGAAAAGAGATGGCAGTTTATCTTCAAGCGTACAGTCAGGCACAGCAAAGAAAACCTGCTCACGCGATCAGCAGGCTGTTGTTGCACTAACCCCAACATACAGTCAGAGCCCACACAATCAGAACCCCATATCACAGGATGGAACCATAATGGAAATCGCTAGCAATATCGTCACATTTTACGATGATCTTACAGCAATACTGGTTACTTATTATGCTGAGATCCGTCCAACCCCCGCCTTCGTTTTGTTTGGGTCAACTACGGATGGAGTACCTTTGAAAATTGATCTACCTCAATGCAACTTTGGAAGAGACCCCTGGGTTGCTGGATCAGTCCCAGCACCACCCATTCCAACTGTTCTTAGGGCTATAAGAGACTGGATGACTGGAGCTTCCATGCTAAACCTTGAGAGGCAAGTTTCCATTACCGAGCCAGCAAATTCCATATGTGTCATCAAAACAACTTTATAGTTTGCCACACTCTAAAATGCATTGCCACACCATAATTGCAGGAAATGGATCGTGCATCCCAAACCAAGACTTATATCTCTAGATGGTGTTGAAATCCATCGACAGCTTGCGCTAAATGAGCCAATGACCCATGAGATGGCCACAGCTATTTTTCGTAGACTTGGTCAAATTGATATGTTATTCTCGAAGGACACTCCCGGACACATATGGAGGAAAATTGTTGAACCAGACTTTGCGGTTAGTTTTGTTTCACACAGTTTTCATTTTGGTAGTGTCCCATTTTGCATGCCTTTCACCACCCCGCGCTCCCTTGTGTTATGTGCAGACAACTATTTTGGCGAATGCTGACCCACTGACGGTTCAATCTATTAGGACTAGTTTCCAAGAAGGAACTGCATCTTGCAACCCAGCTTCATGCCGGATGGTAGGCGACGCTGCAGAAGCTGATGTTATATTATATCAGAACTATTGTTGGGTACAGATCATTAACATGTGCGTTCGTATGCAGTGGTACATCCCGGCGATCCTACCTGATAGTTGGACAGTATATGCATTTGATATGCTCAGAAAAAGGATCATCGTGCTAGACCCAGCTGTAGGGCCGTTTGGTTATAGCAATCGCCGAGTAAGCATGCATGAATTTGTTAGCAACAAACTCCATGCTGCTTTGTTCAACTGTCTGGAGAAATTCTTTAGCTCATGGCACTGTGAATCAAGCCATTGGGGGCGCACTTTTCCTATCGTAATGAGGGAAAAGATTGATAAGTATGTTTGGTGCAGCTCAAGTACATTTTTTGGTTAACTTGAACTTGTCCTCACTTGTATACAAATGCAGGGATCAGACTGGGCTGTGTGCCACATTCTTTGCCTGGAACTACGACGGCGACAAACTACAGATACCACTAAACAAGGTATGTTGTTTGTGTGCCTGTCACACCCCACCCAACACCCCAAACACCGCATAGTTACTGCTTGCTCAAATCGTCTACCTGCATTTGTGTAGGACATGCTATCATCGCACAGCAGCTTGATGATATATGAACTAATGAGGATGCAAGGGAACCAAACTTCAGTGGCTAACGACGCCCTCGAAGCTGTCAAAGCGTCATTCACAGCCCTATAAAATAGCACATCGTCGATCGGTCTGCTCATGTATTTTCGATTATTTATAAGAAGAACAAACTTGTAGACTAATTTTCCCCAGTACTACGACGATCACCGAGTGATCCTAGCATGCAAATTCTTAGACATTAACTAGTACATCAGAGCTTTTCCAGATACACCCTTGAGATCTAGCTCACATGCCAGCTGCAAGTTCATTTCCCTACGTAGATTGACACTGCTGCAAGCAGCACGATCAGTGCAAGCGCCTTCACATAGCTGATCCCTGGGTTGACTGCTACATTATCTTCTGGAGCTGGTTGAACAGCTATTTGCGCAGCTTGCCGTTGCTGCACCGAAGTTGCTTCAGCTCGTAACTCTGAGTTGATCCTCTCTAGCTGACGCACCTTGTAGCGTAGATCAATGACTAGCTGCTTGAGGAACAGATTAATGGGATCGTCGAACCACTCGTACATTTCACATCCTCCCATCTGATGTAAATCGACCACAGAAAAATCTCACCAGATATGAACACTAATGTAACCAAACCAAGAAAAACTTTCGCATCTAGAACACATACCCGTGACCGGGCACATGTCTTGTATCTTCTCCCTGGGTTCTCATCGCTCCACGAGATCCACATGGCCGCCTTGGCCCTGTTCTTGCACCAACATGGTGTCGCAGGCTCGTAGTCCAGCGGACCCACCCTGTAACGCACCGGGGACCTGGTTTGGCCAGCTGGAGCGAAGCGCCTCTGGGATGAAGATGCCGCCCTTGAGCTTGAAGAGAAGGAGGAAGACACTTGCTTGGGAGTGGGGGGCTGATGAGTGGTGGAGTGTGTTTTCGCTGCTAGTGGAGTGCTTGTGATGCAGTGTAGCCGTGTGGTCTTTATATAGGCTGGTCAGTGCTGAGCCCAACGGTCACTTTCCAAACGTGTGGTGGCCAAGCAAACGGTTTCTATCCGTTTTTTCCAAGAGGGCTTCCAAGGCACACAATCCACTCCATGCACAAGTTTTCACAGCATGGGAGGCTGATCTCATCCAAGCTAAGATTAACCGATAAATACAGTAATAAGTTCGCGAATGCTAACAACTTGAACATATCATCCTTAGGCAAATTCTCCTTACACATAGGTCCAACGGCTGATGGAATACCTAGACAAATACTACTTAACCATAGTTCCAACGCATGGTGCACCCATCATACAAGTCATGGGCACGCAGAACTGTCTACCAGACAGCTACAAAATGGTATGGCAAGCCAGAAACTAACATGTCCTTAGACGCAGCAAATCCAAAAGCAGGACACGTACACGTCATCATCCTAATCTTCCTCCTCAAACTCCTCCATGAATCCAGGGTGAGGAGCTGTGTTGCCTGAGCAGGCAATTGTCTCGTACAACATCCTCTTGCGACGTGCCGGAAGACCAACCTGTGCACCACACCGGAAAAAACAAGCAGCTGGTCAATATCTGTTTCAACACTAACATAGCTAATAAGCATGATTAATTTATAGAGGCAAAATTACCTCAGGGACTTCTTGCTCCAACTCGTAAGCGTTAAAGTTGTCTGCATAGTGAGCAATGTAGCCAGGTGTTTCTCCGCTGCAAAATGCTATTTGTCAGCAAGTGCTCCTACCAGGGAACACTATGAATTCTACGCTTGCACTCACCTTCGGCAAGGTATGTGCATGTCAATGTTGTACACAACAGTCCATTTTGAGAGATCCATTTGCCATCCATCCAGCATCATCGTACCAAGGATCTTGAGCCCTCTCAAGAGCATGCGCACGGTCGCCCCGTGCTTGGCCTCATAGACAGGGGAACCCACATGTGTGTACAATGGGTCCATCACCGTGGCCCTAGTCATCTCCATGTCGAACACGTACAAGGACCACTCCTCAATAAGCCACGCTGGGAACAGGAGCTGCAAAGCAGAATACTGGTTTTAGTGAACAAGTCAGATGAAAGTCGAAATCATGTGTGTACAAGGACAAAAAGAAGTAGTCATACCAGGCGGCACATGCATAACGGGAAACCAAGCTTCGGTGTGGAAAGCAACGCCATCAGTACTGCACGGGGGCCGTCAGAATCAATGTTTTCCATGTGGAGCTGCAAAAACACATGCACGCCAATTTGTCAGTTCAAACCACTAGCAAGTGACATTCAAAAACATTCCAATCATATATTCAACGTACCACGACATCAGGTGGTAGTAATCCTCCGTTTGGAAGATCAACTCTCTCCATCATCCTCCGTTCCCTATCGTTCCAGCCACGCACCCACGCTTCAAGACCAGTGTACATCATCTCGCCATGCAAGCTAAATTGGTACTTCAGCTTGTGTCCATCTATCCTGAGAACCGAAGGAGAGTGATGTTCAAACCAGGTCCTGCTTAGAAACAAACAACACTCATACCATTAGAGGCAGCCATATAATCACATTCATTATGTAACATTGCACACATGCAAAATAAACGCACCTGCTAAGCGCAGAATTCTCAGTCAGAAACATCACAGACTCATAGAGATCAGCACACATGTGGTCCGGATAATGAACATGGCGGATATCAAGCTCAAATGGTGAATACCCATAATCACGGGCAGGTGGCAAAGCAGGAACAACTGCTGCAAATACACAAACACAACGTGAGATTCTATTTTTGCATTTTTTGTTGGAACTCCTCAAACAGATTTGAACACTAACCAAGTGGGACCGGCCGGCTCTGTTCACCATAATCAGGCAGTGCAAGCCTCCTGTTGCC